CGGTGGCTCTCGGCTCCCCAGCGGGGACGGCGGGAGCCGAGAGCGCTGTCCGCGCACTGGTAAGACGGCTCCGTGGCACGTCTGCTGGGGTACCCCTGACCTCCTGCACGGCAGACGGGCAGTGTGGAGCCCGACGTCACCGATGCCATTCCCAAAGGCCAGCACTCTGGAGGAAGGGGCAGCCCCACCTGGGGACTGGGTGGAAAGATGACATACCCACCGCCCCCAGGATCCACGGGGGTACATGAGCCACGGACACAGGGCTCGGGCTGTGCTTTTGAGAAAAGGGGTTCTACAAAAGGGCAGGCCACATCTGGGAAATGCCACCTCCCGGAGGTGGTTACTGGGGCCAGGCAAGCACAGGTGGCCTGGTGCACATGCTCAGTTTTGTGGCCGCCTGTCTCCACGCTCAGACTCTAACCAGGAGCAATCTCTACTGCCCGTTTTGCTGTGGGGAGCTGGGGAGCGACAGGGGCTGGCACTTGAAACAGCAAGTCTCGTCCTCTGAGCGTGAAGCGTCACTACCAATGACGCCACGCCGACTCGGGGAGGGCTGCTACAATGCACCGTGGTTGTTCACGAGCAAGCCCAGCCTCGTGCCACAGCCCAGCGGGTGCGAGGGCAGCCCCGCGTCTGCCCGGAAGCTGCAGGGCCGAGCGCGTCCTCTGAAACTGGCACAGGTGGCTGCCCTCCCTCGATGCGGTGACAGTGCTGACGAGGTGAATGTGCTCGTTGGTGACACCTCAAGTGACCAAGGCGACTTGTGCCTGGCTACAGCGGCCGCCTAAGGCTGCCAGTCCCCAGCTTCCCGCAGTGCACACAGGGGACTGACCCGGCAAGTAGGGTGGAGCCGTCTCCCCACACTGGGCTCCCCCAAAGGCTGGGTCTCCCAGAGCCCCCACGCTCTCACACTCACGTACTCTCACACACACACTCACACTCTCACACACGCACTCACACTCATGTACTCTCACACACACTCTCACACTCTCACACACACACTCACGTACTCTCACACACACACTCACGTACTCTCACACACAATCACACACACTCTCACACACACTCACACTCATGTACTATCACACACACTCTCACATACTCACACACTCTCTCACACTCTCACACACTCTCACACTCATACTCACACACTCACACTCATGTACTATCACACACACTCTCACACACACACTCTCTCTCACACACTCACACTCATATACTCTCACACACTCACACTCACACACACACTCATGTACTCTCACACACACTCTCACACTCACACACACTCACGTACTCTCACACACACACTCACATACTCTCACACACAATCACACTCATGTACTATCACACACACTCTCACACACTCACACACTCTCTCACACACTCTCTCACACACTCACACACTCTCACACTCATATACTCTCACACACTCACTCATGTACTATCACACACACTCACACACACACACTCTCTCTCACACACTCACACACTCTCACACTCATGTACTCTCACACACTCACACACTCATGTACTCTCACACACACACACTCTCACACACTCACGTACTCACTCTCACACTCATGTACTATCACACACACTCTCACACACTCACACACACTCACGTACTCTCACACTCTCACACACACTCACACTCTCACACTCATGTACTCTCACACACTCTCACACTCATGTACTCTCACACACACACTCACACACACACTCTCACACCCTCTGTGAGCAATGAGGCGGGGCCACACTGTCGGTGCAGTGGCCCCTACGGGACGTCTGCCTGGGCACTGCACATCACAGGTCCCAGGAGACCGCGTCACAGGGTGACCTGTATTCCAGCCGCCACTTGGCAAAGTCATGTGATTAAAACCTTTCCCTGGAGGTTCTCACCGAGACCAAGGAGATCCTGCTCGGAGGTTCCCGGCTTCTAGCTGGGACAAATGGCCCAGGGACACCCTGAGACCAATGGGGCTGACGGAAGCTGAGGCTGTTTCCAGACCCCACCTTCCAGAATGTGCAGGCTTCTCAGTGACCCCCCTCGGGAGAGGCCTCCATGTGCCCACTGTCCCCACAGGGCCCTCCACTGCCCCACAGGGCCCTCCACTGTCCCCACAGGGCCTTCTGCGTGCCCACTGCCCCACAGGGCCCTCTTGCCACTTCCAAGGAAGCCACCATCTGAGTCCCGTGACACTCAGGCACTGTCTATCATGGCTGAGGCCAGCACCACCGCATGCACATGACCAGGTGGGGGCCGCCAACACATCCCATGAGGCCCAGGCACCTCCAGGTAAGTTAGCAAGGCCACAGTTCTTCGCTTTCAATAAGATGAAGAGGGCCCGATTGAGTTTTCGGCTCGCAACCACCCGAGGACGGCTGAGGGCAGACCCCAAGACGTCGGCATGGCCCAGACACGGGGCTCCTTCTGCGTGTTCATGCGTGAAGCAAGCCTCCTGGCATCAGAACTTGGAGGCCAGCAACAGACAGACTGTGGAGGCTGGGCGGGCCTCTGGTCTCAGCAGTGGTTCCGGCCACCCCGGGGCCAGGAAGGCCCACGGTGCTGGAGGACACCGCGACACACCACGAAGCAGCTTGCGTTAGCAAGTGCCGGGTGCTGCCCCCATACACACATGGTCAGTCGCCACAGTGAGATCACGACTCACTTCTGGGCTTGCTAGCCGTAGCACCCGAGGATTACGGGACATCCGTGTTCTCGGTGCAGAGGGGCATGGTGCACGGTGCGCACCGGGACCCACAGGCCTGTCTGCGGGCCTCCTGAGCAGGTGCCACAGGGACATGTCGCAGACAGGTGACATGGAGGCATCCAAGAACTGTGAGTCGGTTTGCCTTTACACAGGCCACGAGTGATTCGCTTTCAAGCCGTGGTCTCCACCAGCTCAGGCTGACAAGCGCTGCATATTCCAGGCAGACAGACACCGCATCACGTCAGGAGGACAGAGCAGTGCCACGAGGATGCCACAACCAGCCATGAACAGGACAGGGATGGGGCCAGCCCGTGGCCTGGTGGCTGAGGCGGTGGATCCCACATGGCTGACTGTGTGGTTCGAGTCCCAGACCTGGCGGCTTGAAAACATGCCTGGAGTGTGTGTGCGGGCCCACAACCCCGAGAAGAGGACAGGGGAGAGCTATGGCATGCCCCACTCCGCGGAGTGCACTCTCCCTCCCGTCTCTCACTCTGTCTCCCTGTGGCAAGAGCACACACCTTCTAGCAAAATGGTCTTCCAGAGAAACGGGGCTGCCCGGGAGTGTGTACGTGGGAAAGCTGCTGGAGGGCCTCGAGAAACCAGGAGCCGTGCCAGCTCGGGTTCTCCGTGCCGCGGGGCGACTGCAGGTGCTTGTCTGCCGTCCCCTGTACTGTCTGGGGCCTCGGGTGCGCCCTAGCCTGGCAGCACTGTGGCCCCGGCCACTCGGCCTGCACTGCACCGGGTGCTGCAGACGGGAGCCCTGCAGATAGGATGAAGTCTGTCCTCCACCGCCCGGTCTCGGCACTGGAGAACGGTACCGGGAGGCGTGGCCTTCTCAGAACGGCCGCTGGCACTCGGCAAGCCTCCAGACCTGCCCAGCAGCAGTGCCACCAGCAGCTCCTCCATCTTTGTGGTCACGAGGTTCCAGGGTGAGTGGAACGAGAAATCACCTCCCGGGGGATGGCCGTGCTGCAATCCCTTATCCTTTCCACTCTTCTCTTGAGATTCTGGGCATGCACACACGTGCCTGGCGTGAGTTTCAACCTGCCAGGTCTGGAACCGCTATCAACCACATGGGAGTCCAACACCTCAAGCACCACACCACCTACTGTCCCCCACTGTACTGTTTTAAAATTGTGGAGTGGCACTCTGCACAATCACTGACCCCTGCAGGGCACACAGATGCCTGCGGGCTGGGCTGACAAAGCTGCCACGGCATCAGGCATGGGCTTTTGTGTGACTCTGAGTTCTCAGCCCCAAGAATGCTGCCCGGCTCCTGGCTGCAAGGCGCCCGCCCTCCCAGGCAGCTGTGCAATCTCTGCGCCCAGCAGCAGCCATGGCCTCGCCAGCAGGAGCACCCTTGCGACGTTGCACTTCGGCCGTCCGACAGGCGAGCGGCGCCTCAGCACGACTTAGTCCGCACCTCCCAAGGGCTAATGGCTCTGCACACCCCGCCTTGCCATCGGTGCGGCCTCCCTGCAGAATGTCCGCAGATTTTTCCTTTCACTGTTGGGTTTTCAGAATCCCTAGTCCTCTGTCACCCACGGGCAAGCGTTCTCTGCCCCTCTCCAAATGTGTCTTTTCAAGCTTGCGACAAGTCTTTCACAGAGGAAACGTGGTGACCCTTCACGTCCAGTATACCACTTGTTCTTTCATGGTCACGCTTTCACCGTCAAGTCCAAGAACCCTCTGCCCAGTCCCGGTACTAGAGGCCCTCTCCTACGCTGATGTGCACATCCGTGACCCACCCAAGCTGCTCTCTGTACAGGCCACAAGCCTGCACTGTGCGGCTGCTCTGGTCGCCAGGTCCGGGTGCGGCACTGCTGTGCACGGCTGCCTGCGGCACTCAGCGGGGCCTGGCCTCTGCCACGGTCGACCCCTCTGTGCCGTCCCAGTGCACTGTCACAGAAAGCCCTGTCGCTCTGTTTGAAAATACTCTT